TTACCTGTATTGGAGTAGACCAGAAAGGGCTAGAACCTAGAACCAGACTTATCCTTGGGTTGGGGAGGTGCTGGTGGGAGAGAGGTATATGAGGAGTTAAACCCTTATAGATGGCGTATTCGTTTCCTAGGGTTGTTGTAACAAACCACTGCAAGGCATTGCCTTAAAACAACAAAAATTTATTCTCTCACAGTTCTGGAGGCTAGAAGTCCAAATCAAGGTGTCGGTAGGGCCATGTTCTCTTTGAAGGCTCCGGGGAGAATCCTTCTTGGCCTCTTTCTAGCTTCTGGTGTTTGTTGGCAATCCTTGGAAGTCCTTGAATTGTAGGCACATCACTCTAGTCTCTGCCTCTGTCTTCACATGGCCTACTTCCCTGTATGTTTGGGTCTCTGTGTCCAGATTTTCCTCTTTATAAAGACACCAGTCGTACTGAATTTAGGGCCTACTCCTACCCAGTATGACCTCATATTAACTTGATTACATCTGCAAAAGACTCTACTTTCAAATGAAAATGCAGCCACGGAATCTGAATGGACATGTGTTTTGAGAATCACCATTTAACCAAGTGCAATTGGTGTCCAGGGAATAAGGAGGAAAAGGTGCCACAATCAGCTTGAGGGGAGACCTACCAGAATACATTCTAGGAACAGCTGTGGTCAGAGATCAGCGAGGTCATAACCATTTGATCGGTGTAAACAGGTAGGCGAGTCTTCGCCCTAGGCCCGTCTCTAGTTTCTTTGGGACAATGGCAAGAGGAAGCCCAGCTGTTTGAGAGAGCGGGCAAATGAGCAGGTTGTTAAGAAAGAGAACAAGTTAAGACACCCAGGATTCGAATCATGAGGGGCCTTGGTCTCAGGAATAAGGAAAAGCTCAGATATGACAGTGGGGCCAACTAGGTCAGGGCCAGTCCCACAGGAACTGACTTACTGCTCAGTCCTAGAGAGTTGGCTGAAGCGTGTAAAAATCTCCACTTCCTAGGGATAGGCCTGGAGCCCAGGCATGGAGAAAGGCTTTATCAATGTAATTCGGAAACAGATTGTCAGTTTTCAACACTGGCTAGTGTTAAGGTGCCCTGGTAAGGTGTGAGTAACAGTGGGCTCTCTGGATGATACTGAGTGTGCTGGGTAAAGGAGCTTGAAAATTTTAATACTATTAAATGTCATTTGTAAAATGAAAGAAAGCTCTTGTCCTTCCTGGGAAACACTTTGTAAGGTTAGCCTTTCTGCTCTCATCAGAGAGGCTGAGTCAGAGATTGAGTTGTTTTGACATTGACACCTTTTCTTTTCTTTCTGTTAAATTTTTATCTTATTTAGGGGTGCCTGGGTGGCTTAGTCGGTTAAGCGTCCGACTTTCGCTTGGGTCATGATCTCGCGGTTCGTGGGTTCGAGCCCCGCGTCGGGCTCTGTGCTGACTGCCAGCTCAGAGCCTGGAGCCTGTTTCAGTCTGTGACTCCCTCTCTCTCTGACCCTCCCCTGCTCACACTGTCTCTCTCTCTCTCCTAAAAATAAATAAAAAACATTTTTAAAAAAAAACTTAAAAAATTTTTTATCTTATTTAATTTTTAATTTTTCTTAATCTTTATTTTTGAGAGAGAGGGATACAGCGTGAGAGCGGGGGAGGAACAGAGAGAGAGGGAGACACAGAATTTGAAGCAGGCTCCAGGCTCTGAGCTGTCAGCACAGATCCCTGCGTGGGGCTCAAACTCATGAACTGTGAGATCATGACCTGAACCGATGTTGGATGCCTAACTGGCTGAGCCACTCAGGTGCCCCATCGACACCTTTTCTTTTAAAATTTATTGCTTGATAATGCTTCTTTGGAACTTTGATTATTTCTTTAATATAATTAAAATCCAACTTGCCATGTAGCTCTAGGACTCTGAGCTAGAACAGACACTCATACGTGTCTGTTTCTCCCCTCACCTTGGAGCTTGGCTGATTTCTGTGAGGATTGTGTCCTAGACAGCTTATAAGAACAGAGAGCCCCAGTGCTTGTGCTAGTCGCTGGCTTCTCCGTCCACCTGCCTCTTGCCTTCTAGCCTTATTTAATTGCTGTAGGCTTTATGCACACACGCGCGTGTTCTTATGTGCTTGCCTTTGTCTCCCTGGTTGTATATTATATTTATTTTGTTTTAATTTTGAGAGAGAGAGAGGGTGCAAGTGAGTGAGGGGCAGAGAGAGAGAAAGAGAGGGAGAAGAAGTGGGGTTCATCTTAAGGGAGGCTTGTATTCACCCAAACTGGGGCTCAAGCTCACCGAATGTGGGACTTGAGTTTGCGAACCATGAGGTCATGATCTGAGTCAAAGTCCGATGCTTAATGACTGTGCCACCCAGGTGCCCCTGTATATTATATTTCTAACTCAGGATCCTTTTTTTTATTAAAAATTTTTTTTAACGTTTATTTTTTGAGAGAGAGAGAGAGAGCGTGAGTGGGGGTGGGGGTGGGGCAGAAAGAGAGGGAAACACAGAATCCAAAGCAGGCTCCAGGCTCCGAGCTGTCAGCACAGAGCCTGATGTGGGGCTCGAACACATGAACCATAAGATCATGACCTGAGCTGAAGTTGGTTGCTCAACTGACTGGGCCATCCAGGCCCCCTCTAACTCAGGATCCTTATTCGGTACTTTGTCTTCTGTTGTTAGTTTTGGTGACCCTCTGGAATTTGCCAGCAGTCTATATTCCTTATTTCCCAAAGTTACCATAAACAATTCTGTGATGAATGTTACTGTTCATATATTTTATATACCAAATTATTTGCTTAGGGTAAATTGCTAGAAGTGAAATTGCTGGAAAGGATATGCAATTTTGAATTTTTTTTATATGTATTTCTAAATTATTCTCTGGAAAAGTTTATATTCTCTAGTTGTATGTATAAACATTCTTGTCTCTAAACTCTTCTTAACACTAGATGTTTTTCTTAAGCTTGTCAGTTTGAGGGACAACAGATGGTATCATATTCTTGTTTAAATTAATTACTTTTTAATTATTAGATTATTTGGACATACTTTCATGTTTATTGGCCATTTAAAAGTTCTTGTTTTAGAAATTACCTGTGAATATTCTTTGCTCATTTTCCTTTGGAGTGTGTGCTTTTCATCCCATTCCTTCATTTAGTAAACAAAGATGAATGAGTACCTTTTCTATACTAGGGCCAGGTACTACTGTTCTTTGTGAGCAGTACTCACAAGATCCCTGTGATCAAGGAACTTATATTCTGTTGTAGTGAGACAGAAAATAAACAAACATGTAGTATGACGAGTGGGGTAAGGACTGAAGGAAAAGTCAGCATGAAAGAGAGGTAGAGAATGGTTGTGGGGAATGTTGTGTTATGAAAAGGGTCATGGGAGGCCTCACTAATACCACTAGTCTGTAAGTGGAGACCTGAAGATTAAGGAGAAAGCTCTGCTGATTTTTGGGGAAAGCATTATAAGGCAGAGGAGACAAACAGTGCAAAGGCCCTGAGGCTGGACTGTGTTTGACATGTGACCATAGCTTGGTGAATGAAGGGGAGAGGTAGGAGGTGAGTGTGAGAGGTAGCAAGGGGCTGGGTAGATGTGGGGGTTACAGGGCACGCATGCAGGGCCTTGGAACCAGAGTAAGGTGCTGGATTTTATCCTGAGTGATCTGGGGAAGCATTGGAGAGTTTCGAGTGGTGAAGTGGCATGACTTGACCTGATGTTTTAAGAGAACATCAGTGGTGCTAAGTAGAGACTAGACTAGGAGGTGGGCAGTAGTGGAATCTGGAAGATCAGGAGCCTCTTGCAGTATGCCAGACGGGGGACACTAGTGGCCTGCTGGAAGAAGTGACCATTGGTTTTTCAACATAGAACCAATGGATTTTGCTGATGGATCAGCTGTGAAGCGTGAGAGAAAGAAGACCTAAAGATGACTCTGGTTTTTGGCCTTTTTAGGAGATGGGGGGAAATGTGGGCAGAACAGGTTGGCTGGTGGTAAAATCTTAGTGATTTGTAAGAGCTATTCATCTGATGAAGTTTATTAATAATATTTAATCATTTGGGTAGAAAAAGTTTTCTCTATTTGTTGTTAGTTAACTTTGTTAGTGCTATTTTGCTTTTCAGAAATGTCAGCTGTTGGTCTTTACAGTTTTTGGTTTTGCTGTCATGTTTAGAAAGATTCTAAAAATAATCACCCATTCTTGACTTCAGTCCTCTATGGTTTTGTATTTGCGTTCACTCTTTAATCTGGATGGAGTTAATTTTGGTATAAACTTAATTAAAATCTTAATTTTTTTCAAATAATTACCTTTTTATCCTAGCATCATTAAACAATTTGTTCTTTGCTAAGAGAAATAATTGTATCATTTCCTCCCAATTGGGAAAGAGGGGTATGTGGCAAGTTGTGTAAAAAGATATTCTATTACATATTAGTGTTTGGCAAGCCCCTTGTCTTTGATAACTTGGTGACTATAATTTCTGATTATCCTACATCGTAAACATTTGTCTCCTGAGTCTCTTTGATCCCCAGAGAAGGTACTTGACTTAGAAAATGGCTTTTATCAGTTTCCCTCAGTGATTGTGAATTCTGTCCTGTGGATGAAATATAACCTGTTTTTAACTACAGCCTACGACTTGCCACCAAATATGCTTTTCTACTACTTCATTTTTTGTCAACTGTTAATTGTTCTGAGATTATAAACTAAAATTTGCTTTCGCAATACAGATGTTGACTACAATGTATACTTGTCCATTTAATCACACTACAGATCCCAAAGCCCTCCACATTTATGTATTCCAGTTACATTCTCTCTGCTCCAGTCCTTCTCTGATATGTGGATAATTTAAAGGGGATGATATTTAATTTACCGGATTTTCTTATTTAGAGCAAGAAATATTTCCTCTGTTACTGATAATGTTTACCAAATATTATAGTTGGGTTAGGTCTTCAAGCTTGGAAGTACACCTCCAGCATTTTGTTTCCTTAGATATTTATTTCAAGGCTGATTGAACCTAAATCTCTTAACTCTTTCTTTGTTTTTTTTGTAGCGAGGGAAATACGAGGTTCCTAAGTGGCTCTCTTCTAGTAGTGTTCTGCTTCTTCAACAGATGCTACAGGTAAACTTTGTTATTTATATTTAAATAATAGAAGTCTACTGTAGTTGTTTGATCCAACTTTAAGACGTCTGTGGCACTGCTGTATTTGGAGAACAATACCATTTTCCTATTAGCTTAAAAAATTCCATTCAGGATATCTACTGCCCTCCACTAGATGCTTTCTTTTCATTTATTTTAAAGTTTTATTTATTTAAGTAATCTCTATACCCAGCATGGGGCTCGAACTCTCATGACCTGAGATCTAGTCATACGCTCTTCCATCTGAGACAGCCAGGTGCCTCTTTTTGAAAATGTATTTTTGTTATTATTTTTTAAGTTAGATGTTTTCTTAATTATGTTGCGAAATGCATTTTCTTTTAGACCTCTACCACATGTCTTTGCCGAAGTGGTTTTCCTTCCTTTTTCTTGAACATTGTCTGTTTTCTCTGACCAACTCGTGCTCTACCATGATCCATTTTCTTGCTCCCAGTCTTGCACATTAAGTATATAGTAGATAGGGAAGAAATGCTTGAATGAGCTGATATATAATCGAGGTGGACCCTGTGACCTAGTGGGATGGTTCTCAAACTTTAGCACGTATCAGAATTGCCAAATGGGCTTGTTAAAACATAGACTGCTAGGTGCCACCCTAAGAGTGTCTGATTAAGTAGATCTGGGGTAGGACTAGGAATTAGCCTTTCCAACAAGCTTCTAGATGCTGCTGATGCTGGTGGTCTTGGGACTATACTTTGAGAACCACCGATTTAGGGGAATGGCTTCTGAGGGCTAGATAGGAGTGCTGAAGTCTAGGGATCTACCCTGGCAATCAATAGGCATGCTACTAACCTGGTTCTGATCTGTCAAATGGGGATTCTGACACTGGCCTTCTTGCTATGTAGTGTTATGAGGGTAAAATGAGATAAATAGGAAACACTTTGAAAATATGAATATGAGTATTGCACTTATTAATGCAGTATTTTTTTCATTATTATGTATTCAGAATATCCAGTTTTTCCATATATTAAGCCATCTCCACTATTTATTCAAAATTTACCTCAGGCTCACCCACCTTGATTAAGTAGGGCCAGACCACCAAATCTCCATAATGAGATTGGAAACGCCTCATCTTTCTTCTGGACTCCAAAAAACTTAATCTTTGTTGATTAATTTTCCTCTCCTCACATTTGAAAATTACAAATGGAAAAGAAAGGTGTGCTTTTCAACTTGTTCTATGTGATTGTAAGCTCATCAGAGGTAGAGATTGCATATTCACTATGAATGCCCTGCATTGTGGCTGCTTGAATATTAAATTGGTGAATATTTCCTGTGAATAGGTTTTCCAGCAAAGACTATTACATCATACAATAGATTGACTGAACTTCATGAATAATGTCCATACCAATGAAGTTCATGTTTGTTAAACATTTATCTTCTAAGCCTGTGTTGGTTGCTATAGTTTTCTTGCCTCTATTGCCTTTTTTAAAGAATTTATTCCAAGGCCATTTTAAGGTCTTTGACAGCATTTTTGTGATGATAAAGTTTACATCTGTTCTGATGAATTTTGAGTTCTCAGGAGTAAAGGAGTTCCGTGTTCCCTATTTGAAATGTTAATCTCTAGCTTCTTCTCAATGGCCACTAGGTGGACCCAAAGAAACGGATTTCTGTGAAAAATCTCTTGAGCCATCCCTGGATCATGCATGATTACAACTGTCCTGTTGAGTGGCAAAGCAAGAATTCTGTAAGTAAAATGAAGTCGAGTAGCATTTTGCAAAAAACTTTGATCTTTCTGTGGATTCAGGACTTACGTTGATGTGGTTTAAATAGAAAAGAAAATGTATTTGTAGACTTGTTCATCAGATTTGTGTTTGTGAGGCTTGTAACCTAGTTATGTATTTGCCTGTTAATCTCTAGGACAGTGGCTCTTAACTCGGGCTGCACATGAGAATCATTGGGACCTTATTAAAAAAAAAAAAAAAGCAGGGCGCCTGGGTGGCTCAGTTGTTTGGGTGTCCAACTTCAACTCAGGTCATGATCTCACGATTTGTGGGTTCGAGCCCCGCATTGGGCTGTGCTGACAGCTTGGAGAGCCTGGAGCCTGCTTTGGATTCTGTGTCTCCCCTCTCTCTGCCCCTCTCCAGTTTGTACTGTCTCCCTGTCTCTCTCAAAAAAATAAATATAAAAAAAAAAAAATTCCTGTGCCCCATCCCACAACAATTAGTGGATATTCTTAAAAGCGTCCAGGTGTTTCTTAACCTATAGTCAGGATTGTGAACAGTGCTCCGGAAACCAAGGCAAGTTACTTAACTCTGCCAAATCTATTTATTTGTCTATAAAAAGTAGATTAAACCAGTTCTGTCTGTTTCCCAGAGTAGTTATGAGGTTATAGCAGTTCTCAAACTTTTAAGTTGGAGGACTCCTTTATACTCTTAATATTTATTGATTGACTCATTTAAATGTAACAGTAGTAAACCTATTATATTTTATCTCAAATTAATATTTTCTGAAAAATAACTTTAAAAAATCAGTTTAGTGAAAAGAGTAACATCTTTGCAAATTTCTTTGAAGTCTAGCTTGATAGAAGACATTTGGATCTCATCATCTGTATTCAGTCTTTTTTGATATGTTGTTTTGATTGAAGCATATGAAGAAGAAGCAGCCTCACACAGATATGTACTAGGAAAAGAGATAAACACTTTAAAAGCTTTTTCAGATAATTAGTTATATTCTGTGATAATCCGTTAAAACTTGACAACTGGTAGTTTCTGAAAGGTTAGTTGATTGTGGAAAATGAAAGCACATCAATGACGCTATTGTACTCTGTTCCATTCAAATCCATCAGTCTGTCCATTGGGTCCCTTCTTCATGTAATATTATGCATTGGTCATTTGGAAACTGTTGGTTCGCTGAGTTATGCAGATCTTCCAAATGTTAACAACTTTCAATTGTATACTAGAAAAAAAATCACATTCCTTTTTTTAAGTATTTTGAGAGAGTGAGAGAGAGCGAGCATGCGAGTGTGTGAGTGCTAGTGGGGGAGGGGCAGAGAGAGGGGAGAGAGAGAATCCCAAGCAGGTTCTGTGCTGTCAGTGCAGAGCCTGGACACAGGGCTCGATGACACAAACTGTGAGATCATGATCTGAGCTGAGATCAAGAGTCAGATGCTTAACCGATTGAGTTACCCAGGCACCCCAGAATCACATTCCTTAAAATCACTGTTGATCTCATCAGAAAAGTCTTTAAGAATTGGAAAGTTGTTAAACTAATGGTGGCAGGTATAAATTTTCCAAAATCTTAATTTTTGCTTGAAAGGTCAAATTAAATCATTGGCAACAAATAGCTATCAGTTTGTTTTCCATGGAGTGACAAGTTTGTTCATTTTTGAGAAAATGCCAAATACCCAAGTCTAAATAATTATAGTTTGCCAGTGTTCTTTCAAGTAAAAATGGTGTTCTATGAAGAAAACAAGTAATTCAACTCCTAACTCAGGTGCACAGACACTTTTTTCCTCTAAGCAGCCATCTTATTTTGGTATACATAAGCGCTTTATGCACACTCCCCATTTTGTCACACAGAATATCAAAAACACGTGTACTCAGTGCCCAAGATTTAATAAAATTAATACTTTTTACTGCTTCATCAATGATGGTTTTTTTTTTTTTTTGATTGTTTATTCATTTTGAGAGAGAATGTGCATAAGCTGGGGAGAAGCTAAGAGAAAGAGAATCCCAAGCAGGCTCTGAGCTGGCAGTGCAGAGTCCATAGCGGGGCTTGATCCCACGAATTGTGAGATCATGACCTGAGCCGAAACCGATAGTTGAATGCGTCACTGACTGAGCCACTCAGACGTCCCACATTAACAATCTTCTTGATTGAAACTAACTTAAATTTTTTTTTGAACTGTAAGTGCATGACAAAGAATATGGTGTCTTAGTATATTTTGGTGCCGCTGCATTGATTCATACTAAGGCACCAGCAGTGTTACTTATCATTGCTTTTGCACCATCACTGCAAATGGTAACATGGTGACAAATGAAAAACAGTGTTATTATAAAAAATAGTTTTGGGGCGCCTGGGTGGCTCAGTGGGTTAAGCGTCTGACTTCGGCTCAGGTCATGATCTTACAACTTGGGAGTTTGAGCCCTGCATCGGGCTCTGTGCTGACAGCTAGTTCAGAGCCTGGAGCCTGTTTCAGAGTCTGTATCTCCCTCTCTCTCTGACCCTCCCATGCTTACACTGTCTTTCTCCCTCTCTCAGAAATAAATAAAAAACATTAAAAAATTTTTTAAAACATAGTTTTGACCTTGGAGATCCTAAGGGGCCTGTGGACTACACCCTGAGAACTGGTCTAATATATATATATATGAAAGGACTTTAACACAGAGTGCTATGCGAATTATTTAAATAATTACTCTTATATTAATGTTTCAATCTTTTTAAACCAACAGCAACTTGAACTTGGCAAAAATGAGACTGTTACAAAAGGATATGTGCTTTGATGTTAGTTAACTATTACTTTGTAAAATAAAATCTCAAAATTTAGTGACTTAAAACAATAATAACTTACAATTCTGTGGATCAGCAATTTGGGTTGGCTCAACGGGGCAGTTCTCGTGCCCATTTTACCTGAGGCCACTCGTGACTGCAGTCACCTATGACTTAATTGTGGCTGTATGGTCCAAGCCGTACTCAGAAGATCAGCTGTTTGTGCTGGCTGTTTGTGGGGCCACATTGTGTGCAGCAGGCTAGTTGGGACTTCTTGAAATAGTGGCTGGATTCCAAAAGAGGCAAGAAAGTGGGAAAGCTTTAATACTTAATTTTTCAAGCATTTTTCCAGTCTCTGCTTGCATCATGTTTACTAATATCTCAGTTATCAAAGTGAGCCACATGGCAAAGCCCGGAGCCAATATGAAAGGTGTACCCTTCTAAGTCAAAACAATTCTTATCCCCTATATATAGATAAGGAAATCAATAAATGAAACATAACGACTTAAAAAATAAATTTGAAAGAGTGGCATTGTTTTACATCTTTGCAGATTACCTTAAGTCTAACTTAACAGAAGACACTTGGATTCATATCTGCTTTTGCATTCAGTCTGTTTTGCATCCTGTTGTTTTGATTGAAGCATATGAAGAAAATGTAGCCTCACATAGATATGTGGTTGCAAAAGTATTTTAATACTTTAAAGGAGAAATATTTTAACGGCCTTTTCAGGTAATTTGGCATGTTCTCTGATAATCAACTAAAACTTAATGCCCTGTAGTGGGGTGTGTGCATTGGTCAAGAGAATAGCATGGAGGTTTCTCAGACATGCCACAGTATTCACTTGGTATAGCTGTGAGGCATTTGCTTTCTGGAGTAATCACAGTAATACATACAGATACTCTTCCCAGTGGCCACCTGGTCTTGGAAAGATAAGCGAGCTTGTTTTTAGCTCCTTCTTACTAGTTTGCCCACTGTTATGAAATCCCTTTTGATTCTCCTATGACTGTCAGTTCCTAACATTTTTCTTCTCCATATTCCCTTCAGTCCTCCAGGATATCTTTAGTATTTATTGAGCAAATGCAGTTAGAGAGGCAAGTTAACTTTTTTTTTTCTTTTAAGTTTGTAGTCACATTCCAGTTAGTTAACATACAGTGCAATATTAGTTTCAGGTGTACAACATAGTGATTCAAGACTTCCATACATCACCCGGTGCTCATCACAACAATTGCACTTAATCCCCATCACTATTTTACCCATCCCCCCACCCACCTCCCTTCTGGTCACCAGTAGTTTGTTCTTCATGGTTAAGAGTCTGTTTCTTGGTTTGCCTCTTTCTCTCTCTCTCCCCCCACCCTTTGCTCATTTGTTTTGTTTTTTAGATTCCACATATGAGCGAAATCTTGTGGTATTTGTCTTTCTCTGACTTACTATGTTGTTGCAAATGGCAAGATTTCATTCTTTTTTATAGTTGAGTAATATTCTATTATATATATATATATATATACACACACATATATATGTATGTTTATGTGCATGTGTGTGTACACCACATCTTCAACTGATGGATACTTGGGCTCTTTCCGTAATTTGGCTATATGCTGCTATAAACATATTGAGGTGCATGTATCCCTTTGAATTAGTCCTTTTGTATTCTTTGGGTGATTGCTGGATCATAGAGTAGTTCTATTTTTAACTTTTTGAGGAACCTCCATATTTTCCACAGTGGCTGCACCAGTTTGCATTTCTGCCAACAGTGCACCAGTGTTCGCCTTTCTCCACATCCTTAACAACACCTGTTGTTTCTTGTGTTGTTGATTTTAGCCATTCTGAAAGGTGTGAGGTGATAGCTCATTGTAGTTTTGATTTGCATTTCCTTGATGGTGCACAGTGTTCAGCGTCTTTTCGTGTGTCTGTTGGCCCTCTGTATGTCTTCCTTGTAAAAATGTCTTTTCATGTCTTTTGCCCATTTTTTAATTGGATTATTCATTTTTTGGGTGTTGAGTTTGATAAGTTCTTTATATAATTTGGATACTAACCCTTTATCAGATACATCATTTGTAAATATCTTCTCCCATTCCATAGGTTGTCTTTTAGTTCTGTTGACGGTTTCTTTTGCTGTGCAGAAGCTTTTTATTTTGATGTAGTTCCCATAGTTTATTTTTGATTTTGTTTCCCTTGCCTTAGGAGACCTATCTAGAAAGAAGTTGCTACGGCTCATGTCAAAGAAGTTACTGTCTGTGATCTCTTTTAAGGTT